AACCTGCTCCTGCTCTCTCTGCCCGGTCCCGCGCTGCCCAGGAACGCTGCTTCTTCGTTTTGCGCAATTCCCTCGGTTCCCTGAACAAGGCCGAGGGGGTGAGGGGAGGGAAAGACGCTTCCCCGGCCTGGGGGCAATCCCCCAAAGCAGCTGCATGCTCTGGGGAATGCTGCTGCAGCGACCGGTGACAGCCCAGTGTCTCCATGCCCCCAAGCTTGCAGAGCATCTCTCCGGGGCTCAGGGGGTGTCTCAGACCAGGGCTTTCCCTCCCCGCTTACCATTGCAGACCTTCCTCTGAGCAAGGGTTTTGCTGTCACCCCCAGGGCAGAGGATACTAGGCTTATTCAACCGTCCTTGATGGGCATCCTTCTGCCCGGACACCTCTGAGGTACCCAAAGGGTCACAGGAAAGCATCTCCTAGCCCCCATGTCCCATAGCAACCAACGCCATGCCACGGGCAGGGGCGGCAGCAGAGGATGACAGCTGGCAGGATAACATGCCCCTGTAAGGCAGGCAGAGGTCTCATAACTTCTCGCACGCGTTTGCTTGCTGTGCCAAAGCCAGCTCTCCTCCAGCACAGCAGTGGGCATGTGCCAGGAGGAGACATTCATCCTGCCCAGTGCTCGAGACTGCAAGCTCAGGCTGTCCTGCCAGCCCCTCGCCCTGCTCCCCCGGCAGGGGCCCGGGGCTGCAGCCTCTGAAGCGGGCACCTGGCACGTCACAGCTCAGCTGACAGCCAGGCACAGAGCTTGGCACTGGCTGGACAGGCGGTGAAGGGCAGAGGCAGAGCCGCCCTCCCTGTGCCACTGCTTGTGGCGTCTCGCTTTTATCCTGCCGAGCCACCTCCTCCGCAAGCTCCGTGGGCGGGCGGCCTGACCTGCTCCCCCCAGCAGCATCCCTCCCCCCAGCTGGGTCTGGATCCAGCCAAGCCGGGCGCTGGCGTGGGCTGCGCCGTGTCTGCCTCTCAAGGCCTCCTGCCCAGGACTGAGCGCTGTCTGCGATGCTTTGAGAGCTGCTCCATCCTCCTCGGCAGCAGTTAGAGCCGAGGTTGCTCCCCGAGAAGGAGACAGCATGAATCAGCTCTGAGTTTTCATGCTCGCCACAGGCAGAGGCCTGGGGAGCGGGCTGTGCTGGGCAGCTGCGCCTGCCAGTGTCTCTGGCAGAGGCGCCCGTGGTTTCACCCGCTTCTCCCCCACCCCTGTTACTTTTAGATCATCTCCCTCTGCTACAGAAACGCCTCTTGTTCAAGCACTGCAAAAACACTCTTTGTACTTTGAATAGGACTCTTGAAGGCGAGGCAACGTGCCAGGCACCGTCAGCCAAGGCAGGGAGGGAGCAGCTAACCCTGGCACCGGGGAGCAGAAATGGCAACCCCTGTTCTGCTTTTGGGCACCAGCCCCCGCACCGTGCCAGTGCTGGGCAAGTGCTTCCTGACCCTGCCTGCAGCTGGGGCTCTCCTCCCCTGTGTATTGACCTTGCACGTGGTTGATGGAGTTTGGGCACGTGTGTGTGGCAAGTCCCTGTTTGCCACACGTGGGTGTCTGCACTCAGCAGCCAGCCTGCTCCTGGCTTGCAGTGCTTTATGAATTTATGGCTTTGGAGTGTCACCCACATCTTGCTTGTAAAGGCAGATGGCTTGAATGTCCCCAGGGTTGTGCTGTGGGGTGCCCCCAGCACAGGGCGGGGAGCACAGCTGGGAAGCAGGGCACCAGTCCTGAGGCTGCCCTTGCCACATGCTGTCCCTAACCCCCTGCAGAGCATCCCTCCGAGATGGCAAGTGCCTGTGGGGCAGAGCCCGATGCAGAGGACACAGCCAAGACTGAACAGGCTGTCCACGAGGTGATGCCCTGTGACAGGATGGAGCTGAGCCAGCGGCTGGCCGTGGAGGAGCTCATCACCACTGAGGCCAGCTATGTCCACAACATTCAGCTCTGCGTGTCAGACATTCGGGCACACCTCCAGAAGAAGCAGGTGAGGGAGGGGGCACATTGCCCCACTCAGGGGCTGGGCACCATTGGGTGAATCTGTCAAGAACCATGAGATGCCCAGATCACTGCAAAGAGATCAGCACGTGGTCACCTTACACCTGCCTGGGCTTCCCCTCATCAGCCAAGGTCTTGACTTAGATGGACATCAGGTCTGACCCAGTACAGCCATCCTACAGCTTTAACCCTGCATCTGTAACATGAAAAGGCCTCCCTGCCCCACTCATGAGCACACCTATCCTCAGTACCTCCTGAAACAGAGCATTGCTCCAACTCCTCAGGTGTCCTATGGGGCAGCTAGAAAGACACAAGTGCTCAGGAGGGCGTAAGTGCCTCGAGAACACACGGTCCATCTCTGTCTGATGTATTTGGCTTACCCTGGGGCATCTTTGTTTCCTTCAGCTGCCTGATCTTGACTTGGAAGGACTCTTCTCTAACATCGATGACATCCTTCATGTCTCCAGACGGTTCCTGAAGGGTCTTGAGGCCACAGCCTCCCAGGAGGATGAGCAGCTGCTCTGCATCAGTAAGTGGTACAGTGCCCAGAGCTGACCCACACCCACCCATGCCTTTGCTGGTTCTGGCAGTGCCACTCTCTGATGCTGTGCCTGAGTGCAGCCCCCAGCCCACCCCCTGACACCTCCTGCACCTCCAGGAAGCACTGCTGCCTGCACAGTGTTCTCCACGGGCAGCCACCCACACCTTCCACAGGGGCAACCTGCCCAGCCTGCAGAAAGTGAGGGGGGGCACCACCAGGCCCAGCTTAGTGGAGATAGCCAGAGTGCAGAGCACTGCATGTTTGGCTGGCACTGCTCTGCTGGCTTCACCCTTCCAGCGGGCTGGGGAGAAACCTCTGCCTCTCCCTGAGGCCATAGGAAAGGACCATACTTTCCAGCCTTACTCTCCTTCCCCAGGCACCTTGTTCCAGGAGTTCAAGGAAGAGATGGAGATGGTCTACAAGATATACTGTGCCAGCTACGAGCATGCCCTCCTCCTGGTGGAGAGCTACCGCAAGGACCCCAGGCTGCAGGGGGAGATATTGGAGACCCTGAGTACAACAGTGTAGGTGCCTGATGCTGAGGCCACCACCTTCCTCTCCCTGTTTTACCTACTGGCCTTGCTCTCCTCTCTGGACAAGCTGCCTGTGTGGGTATGTGCCACCAGGCTGATGGTAATATCATGGCTGTCACCTTTGTGGCACTGCCTGCATAGTATCTGGCAGCTTGTCCTGCATCCTTGGGGCCACTTGCCAAAGGGGCACTACAGGTTGGTGGTCTTTTATGGTGGACCCCAAAAAAAGGATAGGGTAGCACCCACAGCTCCTGCTGTGTCCACGGCCCAAGAGCCTCTGCCCACAGAAGGCAGATGTTTCCCAGCATGACCAGAGAGACAGGCTGGCC